GTAGGCTTTGCCACCATGGGGCTGTTGTGTTAATGATGATGTAATAATGATGAATCATTTATTAATTTAAATTTTTTGTAATTCCTATTTTTATTTTGTGTAAATTAATTGTAAATTAGTATTATTTACCTATTTATTTTGTAGTAGTTATAAAATCAATTAATGCAAATAATTTTAATTAGATTTGAAATAAATTTTTTAATTCGGTAATTTTTTAATACTGGCGTCAATATTTAATATGACAATTTTTAATATATAATTATTAATTTTTAAAATTGGCTGTATAATTTTCCAATTTTCTTTTCACCTGTTTTTTTCACCGTATTTATTTTATAAATTTTAACCAAATTTTTCAAACACACTTTTAAATGTATTTAAAACCTGATATATAAAATTTTTTTTTCAGAATTTTACTAAATCCATATTTTTAATATTGAAATAATTTAGACATTTATGTGTATTAAAACATATAAAATATTTTATTTTAGGTAAGAAACTGAAAATATTTCTACACAACAACAAATTGGAAGTTGAATTTTTTTTTTTTTTTACTTTTCCGTAAAAATATTTTTTAAAACTAGAGAGCAAGAATTATTTTAGAGAAATATTGGAATCTCTGAAAATTAGAAAATCTCTTTTTGAAAAACTTCGAGGATTTATTAATAGCTTCGTAAACTTTTTGTATCACTGATTTCAATTTTAAATCATACGCTTCTTGAAAACTATTTTCTTAATTTTTTACTAATGGAAACTTCAAAGTCCAAAGACGCAAAATATAGCGTCATTTACGTTTTGTTATATTATTTTTAAACAAAACCTCTTTAAAAATTCTATTGTATTTTAAAAGCATAATTTAAAATAATAATAGCTTTTACTTTTGAAAAAATTAAAAATATTTTTTTTTTCTTTGGTATCGAATTATGGTTTTAATTCTTCTTTTAAATGAAGCAATTCGAGCTCTTAAAATAAAACTTATTCTATAAAATAAATTATGATATGAAAATAACTTTTAAAAAAATTCTTTTGGTTTCAGATAAATTTGATTAAATATTCCTCTTGAATATTATAAATATTTGAGATTAAGACCTTGTTTTTTTTAAAAACAGAAAAAAAAATTATTTTTAAAAAATGACAATTTTATTTTTAAAAATTAAAAGCAGTTAATAGTTCAACAGAAGATTTTTTATTTAAAATTATTTTTAAAATTGAAATACTATAAGAAATCTTCTAATTTAGTTAGTTTTAAATTAAGTTACTTTAAAAAAAAAAATGCTAGTCTTTTAAATTATTTAATCTTTATTCTTGTAATATTCTAAAAAATAAATAAAAAACGTTTAACATAATTTTTAAAGTTAATAATAAAAAATGTTATTTTTAAAAAAATTATATTTCAATAAAAAATCAAAATTATTCGTATTTAAATTATATAATCTCATTAACTCAGAACAAAATTATTTTTTAAATAAAAAATTTAATTTAATTTAAAAAGATATATTAAGTTATGGTTATTTAAGCAAAAATATTACATAACAACATAAAAAATACAAATTAAATTTCAGGTTTAATTTTTTAAAGTATTAATATGCGTTTTTCTTTTTCTTTTAGTTTGATGGTTTAGTTCTTTTGTAGATTTTAGTTTTTTTTAATGAAATAAAATTAAAACATTGAAAAAAGATGCATAAATGTATGTTTAAATATGCTTAAAAGCCTATAAAAAGATATAAAATTTTTTTTTTATATTTCTTTTAATTATGTAATGAAATCGGAGTAATAAAAACAAAAACTATTTAGTTTTATGAGCAATAATTACAGATTAATAATGAAAAATAAAAAATATTAAATTAATACCAATTTTTAAAAATTCATAGCTTATAAAAGTTACATTTAAATAGTAAAAATATTGTTATTATAGTTTTATAAGAAAACGAGAAATATATATATATTTTTTATTACTAAAAAGTAATAATGATTTAAAAGCTGGTTTTTAGGAGATTAAAAAAAAATTATAGCCATTAAAAATGTAGCTATAAAAATGTCTTATAAATTTAAATTTTCTATGTCAAAGGTGTTTTTTTAAAAAGTTTTGTTTATCTTGTAGACAAAATATTACTTTTGTTCATTTTTGTATTTATCTAGGTTTTGGTGTTAAAATATGTATTAATATGTGTTATATATGCCTTAATATATATTACTATGTTATATGTAATAAAGCAATAATTAAAAATATGTGTTAACAATAATTAAAATTATTCACAACACATATTTTTTCTTTTCCCGCCCTATTAACTGAATGTATTGAAGAAAAATATAATTATACTTGGAATCTCAATTTTATTTATGCAAAAATATTCTTTATTACTTATAACAGAGAGTAAAAAAAAATTCTGAAAAATTTTTATATGAATAAACATTTTATTTAATAAATAAAATTTATAGGATTATGCTTCATTTATAAATCTGGGATAATGTTAGTAGCTAACTTTCAAGTGAAAAAGAACTGGTGATGTGCGTTGCACACTCTTCTTTAAAAGGAAGTAGATTCGTTCGGAGATTACTACAAGCACATGAGCAACAATCTTGCATCGCCAATCAGGATCACCGGCATGATAGAAGCTTCTCTATTTTTCCCCTATAAATTATTTTTAAAGACATTCTCAGGACTTTTACAGATATTCTCAAATAAATTTTTCCCTTTATTTTAAAGATATTCTTTCATTATATCTGATTGTTTTGTTAAGTACATGTCAAATTATAAGATTGAATGCTATAATTTCAATTTTCTATGAAGAAGTTTTTAGAATAACTAAGAAAATAAGAATATTAAATGCATCTCTATGAAAATAATAGATTTTTAAAATTTTACTTAAATATATTTTTTCCTTTATATTTGAAACTAAAATAAAATTAGCTTTTAATGATATTAAAATTTGATTAAGAAATAAATAAGAATGGATCTTTAATTAACGAATACATAGAAATGACAGAGATACAAGTCGATTAGCATTCTTAAAATAAAAAATTCTTGAAGAATATATTTTAGATTTAATAAATTATAACACACGAAAAAATTTCATATTTGAAAAACAATATAATAAAAATACATTATATTTCTTTATATTTTCAGTATATTTAAAATATTTAATTAATTAAATTTTTGGAAAAAAAATCCAATTTTTTTTAATTAAAATAATATTTAAAATGAAGCAGAAGAGTTTGTTAATTTAATTAAAAAAGAATTAAATAACTGTCCGTCTATCACCAAATCCTTAAAGATTAATTATACATCATAATAAAAAAATGTATTCCAAGAGTATGTAGCAAAGAGATGTTTAAAAAAAAAAGTAATTTGTTTTTAATTGAATTAAAGTTTATTTAAAGTAATTTTTATTGTATGACATTTCTGTTTTATTAATTAAATAAAGTTTCCAATCTTAATTAGATGTTAAATTTTTTGAACTACTGAAGTAATGATTGCCTTTTCAAATATATGCAACACAAAAATAAATCAATAAATCAACGACTGTCAAAATCATCAAAAGTGTTTTATTTTGATACCACAGAATAATTAATTTTAAACGAATTAAAACAACTCATAATTCACTAAGCTTTGAACTTAGGTGTTAATCATGACATTTTCAATTAAATATTCACGATAGATTGTATTAATCAAATACCTTTTACTAACAATTTAAAAGATTTATCTTTGGCTAACTCTACACTCTATTAAAGAATTCAAACAAAATGTTTTTCTTTCACTAATTCTGTATTTTTACTCTAGACGATTATTAATTATTCTTAAATATGATATCCGGTTTGACAAGACAATACTTGGACAAAGGAAATAAAACAAAGGAAAACAGTCTGCACTAAAACTGAAATCAGAATCCCTTGCTGTCATTTTTGGTCTTAAAGCCCAAATCAAAAATCGGCTTTCTCTTCGGTGAATGCCCATCAACACCTCTGTAATCCACCATTAAGCATCCATTATTAATGAGAATGCTAATGTAGAAAAGTTTCTATCAGGAAGTGTGTAATTTCGGTATCTCATAACAATGCATCGGAAGGAGCAGGAATAACTCGCGTATTGATATTAATGAAACGGAGATGCATTTATCTCTATGGTAACGAAGAAGACCGAATTAATCATACCTTCAATGCTGAGCTAAACCTCTGTAGCAGTTAACGCGCGTGATAAATCACGGTGACGACGACTTCTCCTATTGGGCAAAGAATAAAGAACGCGTCCTGCCCACAGTGGGAGAGTGGCCGAAAGAGATTTGTTATCGTATAGTAGCGGGTCATGTACATTTGTGTTCTGCTTATGAAAGATTACGCAAGCTGTATTTTTCATCTAAGTGTTATTACCCTGAGAATTCGGATGAAGTAGTTTTAATAGTTTAGATAGTAATACGTGCTTAGTTTAAAAAGTATACGTATATGGTTTTAGTTGTGGTTATTTTTAGTAGTTTGATGTCATACAAATTATTGTTATTGTTTGAATAATTGGGGACTGTTAATAGATTTTGTTTTTAAAGTTCCATATTGCTAATATTACTTTTTTATGAATGATTTGAAAACGTACATCGAAAATTCTATCAACATCTTCTTATTCAATGTTCTTTTTTTTCTTCTTCATTGGTGCTAAAGCCCCATAATGGGCCAAGACCCTTTCGCTCACTGGCAGATTTCGAGACAGGGAAACGGTTTCTTTTTACAGAGTAGGCTTGTAAGCCCTACTGCAAACAGTTGTATTAGACCAGGACCTACTGTTTAACATGAATTCCGCACCACTAACGAACATTCATGCCACCTCGGGATTCGGAACCTAAGCCATTGTACCAAACGCCAGAGCGCATTAGCCAACTGTCCATCAGGTGGCTTATTAAACAGGGTCACTACAGTTGAAATTGGTTCGAACCACTACAAACATCCATATCCATTCCACCGGGACCAGAGCTCTAGCCACTTGGCTATCAGGACTCCAAAAATTTTTTAATGCCAACAGCATGCAGTGTTCCCAGGTTGATCACCCTCCCAAATACCGACCGACCGCACCCAATGATGATTGACTTCGGTGATCGAACGAGAACCGGTATATTCAGCATGTTATGGCCGTTGGCCAATGTTCTTTTAATTTTTGAAAATCAGTTGTATAGTAAATATCTTACATATTCGAAAAATATAAACACTGCATATCTCTAATCCGCTTTTTAAACATTCACTTATTAATGGAATGCTAGGGCTTAATTCTAAAAGTATATATTTCAATCTATCTCTTGTGATATGAATAAGGATAATGTGGATACAATGCTTTGTAAAGAACTGGAATTACTGGTGCATTCAATTAATTACACGGAGGTATATTCATCACTATCGTAACGAAGTCTAAATTTATCATACCTTCAATGCTGTAGCTGTGCTCAACACTCTCGCAGTCAGAGAATGATAAATCGTGGTGATGAAGGATCAGCCATTGGTCACGATAAAAGGATGTGTACTGCCCACAATGGGAGAGTGGCAGAAGAGATTTGTTATGATGTTGTAGAATTTTATGTATAATTGTATTCTGGCTATAAAACATTATATTGTTGAGATTTTTATTTAACTAAAGATTGAATGTACCATTCAAGCCCTTTTCCTCTGAAGTAGTTTTTAAACGTTTATAGGATAATATACACTCATGTCCATAAATTAAGGATAATTCAGAATCACACAGAAATTGAACTCTAAAATAAAAAATTTCACCTGTAGAATTATCACACACATCTTGAAGAAGAATATGCAAATTACAGGAAACCACCAGATGGCGCGGATAGTACGTCACAATGACGAGTGTAAGAGAGGGGTATATAAGGAATGGTGGCAAAGAAGTAAAATTGTTCACAAGCGCTTTAAAAGCCTTTCAGTGCAATAACCGCATAGTTATGGCACAAAGGAAGCATTTGGATGATTTTTTACGTGGTAGAATTATCGGACGACTGGAATGTGGACGTACCCAGCTGGAAGTATCCGAGGAACTTGGAATCGCCCAGAGTGTCATCTCCAGGCTTTGGCAACGATTCCAAGATGATGGTAATGTGAGTAGATGTTACAGCACAGGTCGCCCCCGAGTTACAACGCCGAATGAGGACCGGTATTTAGCAGTTACTGCCAAAAGAAACAGACGGAGCACAGCATCAGACCTGTCTCGTCAGCTCTCTTCAGCTACCGGTACGACAGTTTCAAGGCAGACCGTGTACAGACGCTTAGGGCACATTGGTCTATATGCTCGTAGGCCTGTCAGATGTGTTCCACTTACCGCAACTCACTGTCGCCTGCGATTAACCTGGAGTAGAGAGCATGCATTGTGGACACCGCAACAGTGGTCTTGTGTGATGTTTTCCGACGAGTCCAGGTTTGGTTGCAGTCTGATTCTCGCCGGACTTTCATATGGAGAGCGCCAGGTACCCGTTACCACCAAGAGAACACCATTGAACGACACCGTTACGGTGGTGCAGGATGGCTCGTTTGGGGGAGGAATTATTCTTGGTTCCAGAACTTGACCTGCATGTTCAGAGTGTAACGATGACAGGCCACATCTATCGGGATGTCATTCTGGAACAACATGTACGTTTGTTTCGGGGCGCCATGGGTGCTTCAACTTCTTTGTTTAGCACGACAACGCCCGTCCCATGACTCGTGCAAACATTGTAGACGAATGCCTCTCAATTGGCGATATCACCCGTATGGATTGGGAAGCGCCAGCATATCATCGGACTTGAACTAATAGAGTACTTTAAGGGATGATGCTTAGCCGACGAATTGCAGCCTCGTCAACCCCTCCCACCAAGGTCAATCTGAACTGAGGGCATAGCTGATGAGTGCAATATTGCCCCAAGATCAGGTTTAAATTGACACTCAGCATGCCCTCAGCGTTGTAAGGCCCGTAGGTATTGCATCGTCCGGGAGACATACTCCATATTAACCACTCATACTAACCATGCTATAATGTTTTTTGTGAATGGATTCTTTTGAAATTCTTCCTGTTCAGGGAGTAAAATCGCAATTTTCATATTAATTATGTCGCAAAACATAGTAGCATCTTTTTTGCTCTTTTACCTTTTGTTTATAATACAGACTTTCATTTGAAATAAGTCAAATTTGTTTTGGGTTTCTGTCTCTTTCTTTGCCCGAACTTCATTATCCTTGGTTTCAGTGATGCTATGAGAGGTATATTTGTTTGAGTGTAAATTTTTTGTATAATTTAATTTATTTTGATAAATAATTATTATATAATTTAATATATAATTTAATAATTTAATAGTTATTTTTAATTCTTTTAATTCTTTAATTGAATTTTGAAGTATTTTGTATAAAACTGCTTGGTGGTCTGTTCTTCAGTTTTCTTTCCAAAGTTAATAAAATTGTTAGCTTTTTTTTTTACCAAAATTGAATGCACGTCTGACATGCCATCAGTTTTCAGATTTTCGTCTTCTAGCTCTTGGCTCACGCACTTTCTAGACTTTAATGCAGTCTCTTCAATGTAACACCCCCAAGGTAATCGATTCTTGGCCATTCTGTAATGTAAAAAAATAAATTTAAAACGTAAATTTGGATATCTATGAACAGTTTTAAGAAAACAAATAATTACAAAAAGATCAAATAAATAAAGTTTTAAGTATTTATACAGAATATTGTAACAATATCAATACATATTTTACCAATCTGCTTCTTTAACGTGCATGAGTAATATAGATTTAGTTCTGTACTTAAGAATATAGTGGGAATGGATATATAAAGCAGAATTAAAATAATCCGTTAAAGATACGACGACAGAGCTGGTTTTATAAAACATATAAATCTGTTATAAATTGCTATCTTTCACACTCAGAGGAAATAATGAAAGAAACTCTTGACATACTCAAATGTAAAACATTTTCTGGGAAGATAACCACTGTATTGTTCGACAGAGGCAAGCATTCATAATAAATGTATTGCCGGGTCTTGAAAAGCTATATGTTCAGAAACAAGAGAAAACGTCGACTGCTGTTGAATATTTTTTATACAAGTAATTTTCTTTTAATAAATAAATCCTGTCCAATGGATAAAGGATAATAATAAATATTTATTACTACACAATACGTTTTACTGTTCTTCGTTTACGAGCAAAATTCATCAAAATTTACTTATAGTTCTTAGACAAGTATAAGTTTTTTATACACAAGAACTGTGATACATAACTGAACGTTTGATAACTAGACAACGGTGAAACATAGTTTGTATTTGCTGTTGCGTCTAATTTTCAGTGTCCTGCAGTGCTGAACGGAACAATGCCTTCCGGAGGATTTCAGGAGAATTATCCCACATTTATGTATCTTACGGGACAAAAACCTGGTAAACTCCCAACAGGTAGTCAGACTGAAAACGCAAGATGCTGCACATCACAAACGCCATAGAGCCTCCTCGTTTTTGTAAAACAGTGTCTGCAACAAAGCCGCCAGCGGATGGAACCTCACCAGCGGCGCACACTGTCACTGAGGCACGGGTTGGCCAGGTATTATTTTTGAAAAGTCACAGATGAGAAATGACATTTTAAATTACCTATTCCAAATCAGAATGTTAAAATTCTTTTTTTCTGTGTAATATTTAATATTCTGTGTGTATTTCGAGACACTAAACCAACCTAATCACACTTCACACCTCTAACAAGCTTTTTTTTTCAAATTGGACTTTTTATACGTATATAAGAAAGCCATGAACTCATTCTATTATAAAAATAGAGTTACTAAAAATAGATTTAAAAGAAATGGAGAAATTAAAATTTTTAATTTTTTTTTTTAAGTGAATATGTTTAAAATAATTGAAATGGTGGAATGTAATTTCCCTGATGTAGCTATTTTAGATTAACGTTTCCTTTTAAATTATTTTTTTATTTAAAGAAAAAGAATCTAATAATTAAAAAAGAATTAAATTCGTCTTCTTCATAGGCGTAACAGCCTGCGGGGACCAAGGTCAGTTGCCACATGAAACCAAACAGTCATATTACATAGCACGATTTAGGATGATGGATGGATTCGAACCCGTGGTGGATTCGAACTGGTGGATTCGAACCACTACAAGCATGCATGATACCGCCGTGGAGACAAACCTTAGCGACCAGCGGAACCGAGCTTTAGTCACTCAGCCATCAAACCCATAATTTATTTTATCATTTTTATCATTTTTATTATTATTTATTTTATCATTTTTATTATTTCATCAAATGAAATAATATTTTTATCATTTTTTAAATGCAATATCATAGTTAAATTCTTATGTAGTATAAATGGAATATCACAGTTGCATTACACAATACAATTTTTTTTTGTATTTTTAGTGTATTAAATATTAGTGTCATGAAGTATAAAACAGTTTAATATAGTGTTTTAAAAGTGGAGATAGTTTTAAGAATGAACACTACTGTCTGTGGTAAAGTGTCTAATAAGAGTTACTATCTGAACGCCTTTTAAATCTTTATAATCCAACACAAATGATGCGAAAACGAAGTATAAATCACTCAATTCTTCTGCGACAACTTTGTGTCCGGATTTAGAACTTCGCCAGGCGTGATGTTCATCAACAATCCGGCAGAATCTCGATTAAAAAGGTCCACCACAGAATGCCGCACTCTGTCCGATCTGCGGAACAGACGAGAGCAAAGATAGAGAGAGAAAAAATGTGGAAGCACTTCTACTTCTAGACTCTTAATCAGACGGAAAACGACACACTTAAAATTTTCCATTTCCGGCGGTCACACTTATAACCACAAACCGTGGGCAATTAAAAGAACGCGTATTAAAACTCGCGCAGTCCGGCAATAAAAATCCGGCTCTGTCACGGAACGCCCCATTTTAATTAAAAGTGATAAATACTCTGGTGGGTCGAAGTTTTGAATTATGGCGGCCACCCTTGAAACTTTTCTGAAAAGCGAGTAGATATGTGAAATTAGATCGCAAAATGAACATGAGTTTCGGATGGTTGGAATTAGAAAACATTCTCTTTTTGGGTGACATTGGATATTAGATAAATCGGCATCATGTACTCCAAATTCAAATGGGTGAATTAGAGGTTAAACTATCGTCTTCACGATAGCTTTGGT